TGCTCCATCTTCCCATTAGCATCCCATTAGATTCTTGAACTGAGAGATTTCCATTTCTTGAAAAGGATCATCTGCTATAATTTATTGCCTTGCTCATATCGGATTTTTTTTTCTCAGGTTCGTTTCTGCTAGACAAGGTAATAAGTTATTTGCATTAAGGTGTTGCTTTCCTCGACAAATGTACAATTGAATAATTAAACTCTGCCAGCTGTTCCAGCCCCCAAGCAAAATTCCCCTTTGCCTAATGAAACCTCAATGATCCATCATCTGTCCTCAGAGTAAATATTGTTATCCTTAAGAAAATTTTATTGAAACCTAACAGGAGGCTGCTAAATTATCAGTGGCTATGTTCATACATAATAAAAAGAACATACTATGGTTTGTTTAGTTTTTGCTTAAAGTATTGTATATACCAACCATTGTGAATAATTTATTACTGTATATGCCATCAAGTAATGTTGACCACATATATACAGACCTTCTCTAGGATGATCTAGTCCCAGATTGGTTGTTGAGGTCTTTCAAGAGGAGATCCATCATCGCTGTAATGGAGTCTGTCCACCTTGCTGATGCTGTTCCCTTCTTCTTTTTCCTTCCATCTTTCCCAACATTACCTTACTGACTTCTTGAGGGAGCTGAATCTTTACATACAGTAATATGTTCAAAATATGTGAATTGAAACCTGAACATTTAGATCTTAAGGAGAACTCTGGATTGATTTGTTCTCTTAGTTTTCTTATCTATCCATGGAATTATTTTCCATACTAATTCCAACACTCCTTTTAGAGCTACTTCTTCAAAGCCCAACTTTTATTTCCATAGAGTGTCACAGGGAAAATCGCTGGCAGCATGACTTTCATTGCTATCTTACCAAGTGCTAAGCTATGGCATATTTCTTGACTACTGGTTCTATTTCCGTTGGGATTTATAGTTAAATTCAAAGGACAGAAGCTATTCATCCTACTTGACAACTTAGCAAGTTCTGCGTATCAAACCTATTTTTGATTAGAGAATAACCGATAATTAAATAAACCATGGTTTAACACATCTGTAGAAATGTCTTCTGAGAGGGAACACCTAGAATAAATACATTGATAAACCTTATAATCAAGTGTTGTATATTTAGGCTTATGTAAACAAATATTGAATTGTTAATCTATACTGACCTGTGTAATGACATTCTATAAAGCCAGTGGTCACCAGGTTTTTGTGGGATAATAGGAGCTGCTGAAATTCCCATATACAGCTTGTGATTTTTTTCCCTTTTATTAGCACCATAATGGCAGTAACTACAGTAGTTTTATTTGCAGGTATATAAAGTAATTTGAGTATCATTTAATTACAGAAGCTAAAGAGGAACTAATTAGCTCTTTAGCAACTCATTCTTTTCCCTCACTCCCACATACTCCTTCTGATGAGTAGCAGAACTTAAACAGATAACAGATAATCAGAGTTGGAAGGGACCTTGTAGGTCATCTAGTCCAACCCCCCCCACCCAAGTGGGAGACCCTACACCATTTCTGACAAATGGCAGTCCAATCTCTTCTTGAAAGTCTCAAGTGATGGTGCTCCCACAACTTCCGAGGGCAAGCTGTTCCATTGGTTGATTGTTCTCACTGTCAGAAAGTTTCTCCTTGTTTCCAGGTTAAATCTCTCCTTGTTCAGTTTCCATCCATTATTCCTTGTCTGGCCTATAGGCGCTTTAGAAAATAGCTTGACCCCTTCCTTATTTTATTTATTTAAAATATTTGTATAGACATCCATCTTAAAACAACTCTAGGCAGCTTACAACTAATAAAACACTATAAAACCATATAAAATCAAATTATTTGACCAACTTGTTGATTTGATTAGCATTTGATCCAGCATTTTTAAAGTAAATACTGTTCTTATGGGTATTTGGGTAGTCTAATGTAGTCTGCATTGTATTACTTAGATTCCTACCTAGAATTTTTAAAAAAGGAGTTAATATTCTCTTTGGATGGATGTGAACTCTTCTCCAAATTTTAATGAGTCGTCTGTGATCAGTAGAACTGTTCTTCCTTCAGTAGGTCTTCTCTGGAACCCCTGCTCACCTCTGCTTCAATGGTTTTTTCTCAAAGTCTCTGGGAACCATTAATCCTTCAACAGTCAATATAGTCTAGAATTCATATCACAGCCAAGCTTTAGCCATAGGGAATCTAAGTCTCTCCTCCTGCACATAGCAATCTAAGTCAACTGTGCATTCACCTTTAGCATCCTTTACTATGCATATATGCTTTCAATTAAATTATTTAATTATAAACTTATATAGTGCTGTATAGTGCTTTCCAGCACTCTCTGCGTGGTTTACAAAGTCAGCATATTGCTCCCATTAATCTGGGTCCTCATTTTACCGAATTCAGAAAGGTGGCAAGCTAAGTCAATCTTGAATCCTGTCAGGATTGAACTCCAGACTATGAACAGAGTTAGCCTGAAATACTGCATTCTTACCATTGTGCCACCATGGCTCCTCCAATGCCATTTCTATTCCATGATCAGAACTAAATCCTAACTGAAATAGACCCAGACAATCTATTTCCTTTGTATTGTGTCATCCTAAAACAAGATTGTTTAACGATACTGAATAAACTTGACTTCTTTCCCACAGCCCATTAAACAAAAAACAAACCATGTCACACCTGTTGTGTGAATACAGAACTAGCAGAATAAAGCCTTATTATAATAAAGATTAAATTAAGAAAAGCTTTTATGAAGAAACTATTTCATATTACAGTAATCACAATTAAAGCTGTGATTTCCTTCCTACTTATCCTAACTATCATGGTTTTCTATGCACTTTATTATCTACTTGATAGAAGGAGTCAGGGTGACAGAGTGGTTAGATTGCAGTTATTGCACCTTAGTTCTGCCCTTAGCTCAATCTGACCGGCTCAAAGTTGACAGCCTTCCAGGCTACCAAAGCCAGTAAAATGAGAACCCAGATTGTTGGGAGCAATATGCTGACATTTGTAAACTGTTCAGAGAGTGCTATAAAATACTGTGGAGTGGTATCTAAGTGTTATTGATTCCTGACAGACCCCAGAGTATAAGTGTTGCAATCATTATTTTAAGTATTTAGTATTTTACAAAACACATCTTAGCCACCTAAAGGTCTTTGGAGCTTATATTTTATTATATTTCAGAGTTACTTCCTAGAATCCCACGGTAGGTCCAGGCCTTTCTGTCAACATCTTGAACACAATGGAAAATAACTATTTAAGAGGGTTTCTTTGGGTTGTGAGAATCTATTCTAAAAAGGGAGATTCAAGCCTTAGATGGACTGATCAAATGCCTGCCAAGTGATTCCTAGGAGTACTTGTTTAAAAGAAAATAACTGTGTGTGAGTACCACAGTATTAGTACAGGATAAGGCTGAATTATAGAAAAACCAATCTGAGATGTGAAGTTAGGTATGTTTTGAGCATGCCCTTTGTTTAGAGTTAAAAGTAAGTCAATGGAGAAATATCAATACACAATACTGTACTCAGAGGTGGTATTCAGCAGGTCCTGACCAGTTCTGGAGAACCAGTAGCGGAAATTTTGAGTACTTCAGAGAACTGGCAAATACCACCTCTGACTGGAGATTTTACAGTATCCTTCCCCTGCCATGCCCACCAAGCCACGCCCACAGAACCAGTAGTTTAAAAAAATTGAATCCCACCACTGACTGTATTATATTATCTATTGTCTCATTCAAATCAGTATCCCTGAAAGATTGTCTCTGAAAGAAGTTCAGTCCTATTATTTTTATGAAAGACTCTATTATTCAGAACATTTACTCTGATGGAATAAATTTTCTCAGTTCATCATACTCTAAAACAATATTTTGCACACTTGGCAACTTTAAGGTGTGTGGACTTCAACTCCCAGAATTCCTCAGCTAGCATGCAACTTCAGCTTTTGATGCTTGCCTTTTCATTTCATTTCACCCATTATTTCCAGATCATATTATATTTTGCTTATCAGGATCCCAAAAGTTGAGCTGTATTTTGATCTTGACTTCTCTTGTATATTATTACTACAACAATTTTAAATGTGCTAACTGTTCATTGGTTTGTAGGTTTATTTTGTTCTGCTGCAACCTATTTTGAACATGCAGAAAAACATGGAATGCAAAACAATATAGTAACCTACAGGACCCATACTATGAATTGACCAAAATACCTGAATTACTGCAATGTTATTTGTTCCCATATAAAACTCCTGTAAGCTTTCTGGTAGATTAATATTTTCTAGCTGCATGATTTTTATTTGGAGTTAAGAAAAACTAAAAACCCAAAGAAAGAATTATCATAAATCTCCAGAAGAAAAAAGGGAAGACAGCAACAAAGGCTGCCAGCCACCATCTGTGTGTGTAAAACAACAACTTTTTCCTACTGACATAGGACTAACAAGAGGAAAAATATTTTTTAAAAGGTTTAGAAAAAAAGCTTCTCCTAGACTAGTATACTCCAGAATATTTGGTACCATCAGAGAATTTTGGGATTCCCTTGGGGCGGAATCTCCTGTTAGAGGCAAGCTTCTTAGGAAATTGGTCAGATTCCTATTCATTTACACTTAAAGGATTATAGTATGATATTGTGTTTATATTTTAATGAATCAAATAACCAATGTTTCATTATTGGTAGTAGTTTTAGCCACAGAACAGCACTAGTATAATTGTATGTCCAAATCATCACTAGTGGATCTGATAACAAATGAAGAGTTACAGCATAGATCTCAGCACCAATTGATGAAGGATATTAATTCTGACATGGAGCAAATAAAATTGCAAGAAAGAAGAGGTTTCCAACGTGGTTGTTCAGGAAGAAGTTGATTAGCCAATTATTAGAAGTATTTTTAGATGTGTCTCTGACAAAGCTCATTCATAGAACAGAAATGGTAGCATATGAGGTGAAGAAAGAAGATTCACACTATTATGCAATTCATCAGAGATTCAATTTTTTAAAGAGTTTTTATTTATTCAATTTATATGCCACCCATTTCATTATCAAGCAACATTCCATAAAATATATTGGGATGTCTTCTACAGGAACGAAATCCAAAGATTTTTTTTAATTTCCCGTGAAGTTAAACAGTTAGATTTCTTAATGACATTGAAGAACCAAGATCAATTAGTGATTGCAGTTGGACAGCTGGCATGTTGGAAAGCAGCTTACTCAGACTAATAAGCATTGCCTTGCTGTTACCTCACAATCCCTCCATCTCTTTGTTCCTTCCATCTGCTGTCCCTCCTCAACATCTGCAAGCTTTTAGGGAAGGGACATTGGGCCTATTCACGTGGGTTGTCCAGCACAATGAGGCTTTCAGGTGCCAACACGATCCCATTAGATTCCTGTATTATATTTCCTCCGGGTCTCAAAGTTCACAAGGTAGGTTACAATCCCTGAACAGAAAAGCATACATGTGAAAACGAATAAGAAGATGTCATTTATACCCTGCTTTTCTGTTAAAAATGACTTGTCAATGATTAACAATGACATGTACAAAACATCCATATGGGGATGGTGTGTTAGAAACATTGGCCCATGACTACTCTAAGGGGTACATGCAGAATCTTAATAACTGTCCTAAGACTAAAAATATCTTATGTTCTGTATGAATTTCATATAAGTTATTTGCAGAAAAAGATCCAAAAATGTTATCAGTTATAGTTCTATAACAAAAATGTTATAGAACTGAGATTTTGCCTGTGGAATAAAATGTTATGGGGTTGCATAGAATCTAATACAGTATATTAAAAAAATATCCTGGATTTTATGCTGAATGAAAATTAAATATTTGACATTGACTTATGATAATAAACAATCATTGACATTTCAATAATATTTTAATACATTCTAATGTATTAAATATATTAGCTGCATTTTAAATATTCTACTAATATATTAGTAGATTATTTTTTCAGCATTTTAGTTTCTTAGTCAATAATTTAGAGTTTTATTTTTTTATATACCCAGTAATTTAGCAGTAATAATAACATGCTTTCAAGTACTTTAGTTGGTTTGGGGGGGGGGGGTATTTTAGTATTTGCATTTACAAATAATTTCAATTCAGTTTATCTCAATCTGTACAATTTCTTTAGAAATTTTCCTTTCATTTTCCAAGCCCCGCAATATTCTGTGAAACTATGTTAAATTGTGGCTTATTTTATCCAAGTTTGTACAGTTAAACCATAAAACATTGTTTTCCAACTAAAATGACTAGGGTCGTGAAATCAAAATCATATTATGGCTTATCAGAAACTATGAAAGACATTAAAATGTCTTTCATTGAAAAAATATTGTAAAAGCAAAAATCCTAATTACTGAATAGTCTCAAAAGAAACCCAGCTATTGCTTCATTATCATTCTGTCTCTTAATTTTGGGAGATTTTCAATCACTCTACAGACCTGGAAGTTTGCTTCTTTTTTCTTACTCCTTCTTTCCCATTTCTTTAACATACTGTATTTTTTTAAATCTAAATTCTACAGGCATGGATTGTTTTTCTTCTTGTTGTTGTTTTTAGTTTGTATATAATACTTACTTGATTTTAGGTTCTTTAAAAAGAAATAATGCAGAATTATCTTTCTTGCCTTGAAAATCTGTGGGTCATCAATGTACATACCACTTTACAGAGTTGAAGAAAACACATCCAAACGCAGACTTTTCTAGTTGATAGTCCCAGGAACATAACTATATAGGAAGGAAGGAAATAAAAGGAGAATAATATGGCTGTTGAGTCATCCTTGACAAAAGATACAGGTAGTCCTTAACTTACAACAATTCATTTAGTGAACATTCAAAGTTCCAAGGGCACTGAACAAAATGACTTATGACCGTTTCTCAGTTATAACCTTTGCAGCATCCCATGATCATGTGACCAAAACTCAGATGCTTGGCAATTGGTTCATACTTATGACCATTGCTGTGTCCCAAGGTCATATGATCTGCTTTTGCAAACTTCTGGCAAGCAAAGTCAATGGGGAAGCCAGATTCACTTAACAACCAGGTTATTAACTTAACAACTGCAGTGATTCACTTAACAACTATGTCAAGGAAGGTCATAAAATAAGGCAAAGCTCACTTAACAAATGTCTCCCTTAACAACAGAAAGTTTGGACTCAGTTGTGGTCATGTTGAGAATTACCTGTATTCATTTGAAGATTGTGGCTTAGGGAGATGTGTAAACTCAACCATATGTGATTTATTGAATAAAACATGATTAAAGAAATGAAAGCTTAATACTGGCATGAACTTAATTTAAATGTAAAGATACCCATCATGGCATCTATTTTTGTGACAGGCACAGATCACAAATAATTACTCATTTCTAATATGTGATACCATAATGATGACTATTGCATGATATGTGATGAGTAGTAACCTGCTGCTGACTTGGTTTAATGATTCTGTTGATTTCTCTGCTCCTGGTCCAGATATTCCAGCATTATCGTCTATTTATTTGGAAATGCTATTAATAAAAAAGCCTGTGCTATTCATCATTAGATTGTTCACATGTGGGCGGGGGAAGGCTAAAGGTCCAGCACACACATTGAAAAGTATTGGTAGGATAGTACATATACATACACAAAAAGCAGGTCTACCTTATTTTCATGGCTAATTTTTGTTTAATCATAAGTGAGCCAATAGCCAAGGTTTGTACATCATGCAAAAACAAAGTAAGTTAATTTTACCTTAACCAAACTGTGGTTAACATGATCTTCTCAGTAGTCTGAATTCAAACAACCCATTAAGCAAAAGCACAATATAATTTAGCACATTTTCAAATGTAGACATTTTCTACATTGCAGGGTTATTGTGGAATACTAATGTAGATGGTTGTATTAACATACTAAGATTATTTAAAATCCTAGATGGAAAGGCAGAGAGAAATGCTACCTGCATTGAGCATTTCTGCAGGGACAAAATGTTTCCCCCTTTCTTGAATAGAAGACAAACTTTTCTATGAAGAACAGAACTATAACTCAGTTTACATCTAAAGAGATAAGAACTATGCTTTCTCATATCCGTTTTTCCACTCAGTCACACGTTGATGTTTCCCATTCAGCTGCTTCTGTATTTTAATCTTGTATTGCCTTTGCCATCTTTTTTATGCTCCATAGAAAAGTAAATCTGAAAGAACACTTGTGACCTCCAGGAATGCTCTAGGGAGCCATCCTAACATTTTTAATTACTTAAGAATGAATAAAGGGGGGGAACACACCAGAGTGCTCTTTACCAAGATTCAAGAAACATGATAAAAAAAAAAACCTACCATATATTGAATTCTGTCTGAATTGTTTCTGGCAGTATTTCCTTCAAAGACTAAATCAACCAAGGTATAAAGATAAATTGTGTTGAATTTAAAAAAGATCTTACGCAGTTTACTGGTTTAATGTACTATATTGTTGAACACAGTTGTGGTGCACACATGAAACTGTATTTCAGCAAACAGTGGCTTTGAAGAATGGTATTAATCCATAGGTACAGATGTTTAATATTTTGGCTTTACCAATAAAATATTTACAAATCTAAACGTCAAACAGATAGGAGAACTTTTCTGCACTTTGTATAATACAGTACACAATGAAAATGTACTTGGAGCCACTTCTTGGAAAAGATTTCAGGTGGAGAACAAGAAAGTATATACAGCATATGCTAATATCATGGCCCTTAAGAGTTGTTACCTGAAATTGTCCAGAGTAGCAAAGCTTCAGGTCTGCCAACATTGCTTGATAAAAGCATCCACATGAATGAGAAGTCAGAGTCCCCTGTGCCCTGAAGTCCTAGAAGTAGCACTTGCTTCAGCAAATATCAGGCTATTGACATTTATAACACTTCAATCAGTTAATGGGTAACAGAAGTGTTCCACTCTTTATTTCTCAGCTTCACAAGTTCTAACAAAGGGGTCTAGGGGGTTAAGATTTTTTAAATATCTAAACTCCAGGCTCCAAAGAACCTTTGCTTTTATAAAGGTCAAAATCTTGCGCAGACTGAAGTCAGGGGAAAAATGTGCTTTTTATTTCATTGGAAGAGAGCCACTTTCACTGAATGAAAAGCTCTCCTTGGCTTCTTCTCACAAGCCAAAAGTTCAAATGAGTATGTAATGCAGTTTGGAAAATAGGCACTAAAGTGGAGGGAAATGGAAAGTCAAATATAACTTGAAAGCATATTGAAGGTGTAAAATGTTTTTCCAAGAACTGATGTGGAATACTGAATCTTTCTGATTACATATGTGCTGCTGCTTAGTCTGAATTTGTATATACATATATACCGTGTTTCTCATATAATAAGGCCGGGTCTTATTTTTTTTTGAGCCCCGAAAAAATGGCTAGGCCGTCTTTTCGGGGGTGACTTAATTTCCTCCCCCCCCCCTTGCATCTTAGGGCGGGCGGAGACGGCTTGGATGTTGACCTCGGCATTGGTGGGGCACTTTGTATCAGGGTCAACGCAGGCAGCACCATATCCGGGTGTGCAACAAAAGTACTTCCTAACAGCAAGCCCCCTGCCATTTCCCCCCCATTTCGCATGTTTTAATATAGGCCTTAATTTGGGGGGAGGGGCTTAATTTCATTTCATGCCTATAAAACATGCTGGGACTTCCTATTGGGGGAGGCCGTATTGTTGGAGAAACAGGGTATATATATGCATATATGATTATTTTTAGTATTCATGTACAAACATGTCTATGTTCATGTATAAACTACCACATAATGTCTATGTTAACTTTGTACCACAAAGTTAAGTCAAAAAGAGGGCTGTGAAAATATTTACAGACCCCTCGCATCCTGGACATAAACTGTTTCAACTCCTTCCCTCAAAACGACACTATAGAGCACTGCACACCAGAACAACTAGACACAAGAACAGTTTTTCCCCGAAAGCCATCACTCTGCTAAATAAATAATTCCCTCAATACTGTTCAACTATTTACAAAGTGCACACTATTATTTCTGTTAATCTTCTCATTACTCCTAATCACCCATCCTCTCCCACTTGTGATTGTAGGACTATAACTTTGTTGCTTGTATCCTTACGATTCATATTGACTGTTTCCTAGTATGATTTGATTGTTGATTGTACCCTGTGACTATCATTAAGTGTTGTACGTTATGATTCTTGATTCTTAACAAATGTATCTTTTCTTTATGTATACTGAGGGTATTTACACCAGGGCAAATTCCTTGTGTGTCCAATCACACTTGGCCAATAAAGTATTCTATTCTATTCTATTCTATTCTATTCTATTCTATTCTATTCTATTCTATTCTATCCTATCCTATCCTATCCTATCCTATCCTATCCTATCCTATTCAAAAGATCTTAATGTTGCAAAGCCAGAAAAATACATTGGATTAAGCTATAGGTGGTTTTTGTTTAACAGCTACTCATGCAGAGACCTTTCAAACTTCCAACAGTGCTCAACGAACACTAGTTATGACTAGTCCTCATTTTTATGTTAATCACAGCATCCCCACAGTCACATGATTGGAATGGGGTGCTCAGCACCTAGTTCTCAATAACAACATTGCAGCTTCCCACGGTAAAGTGATCATTATTTCCAACCTTCCTTGCCAGCTTCCAACAAGCAAAGTCAATGGGGAAGACAGCAGGAGGTTGCAAATAGTGACCATGTGATGTTACTGCTTAACAACCCATAACCACTTAACAATGACACGTGGGCATGCCAGAATTTCTGTTGCTAAGCTATGTAATCACATGACATGGCTTCCTATGCTTACACACCCTTTATAATAATGTCACTTAGTGGACATTTTGGTCTCAATTATTGCTGTTAAGTGAGGACTACATGTATTTGTTATTAATACTTGTGTCAGCCAGATGTACTATACCAGGGGTCGCCAACCTTTGGGACCTCAGGGACCACCAAACTCATAATTTTAAATCCCAGGGACCACTAACCTGTTCTGTGGGCATGGTCTAATTTGTGGGTGTGGCTTGGTGGTCATGTGACTGGCTGGGCATGGCTTGTATGTAAATATAAATATTTATATAAATATTGAATTTTTTATAAAAAAGAGCAACTTTTATCCAAAATCAGGCAAAGCAGGCAGGCAGATTGAGTTGCTCACAGAATCACAGATTTATTCAGATATCTATCTATCTGCCATCAGCTAGCTCAGTCTGTCACATAAAATTTGCTTGCCGTGAGTCTGCACTGAATAATAGAAACTTCAGTCCTAAGGGAGGTTCAATTGTGCTTAAAAGCAGGGCCGAAGATCTAAAGATTAGCTTGAAAGCAAGAAATCCAACCCTTTCCTGCTTCCTAGCTAATCTAAATCTCCAGGCACAGCAGAACAGCTGATGGTCTGAAAAATAGCAATTTAGCAGGCAAGTTTGCCGGGTAAGGAGTGAGTGGGCGGAGAGGGTTCCCACGGGCCATGTGAGTGGCGCAGCCTTGTGTTTCTGCGCAGCTGGATTAATTGCTTTGGGGGGGTGCTCTGGGGGTAAATTTTCTCTGTGGGCCACCAAAATTTTCTCACGGCTCACCAGTGGGCCACGGTCCACCAGTTGGCGACCGCTGTACTATGCTAAGCTACCTGTTTCCTCCTCAAAAATGTATTCACATACTTCTGACATTCTGAAGGAGCTGGCAGACATGATCTCAAAATCCCTGACCCATATCTTTCAAAGATCCTGGAGCACTGGGGAGCTACCAGAGGACTGGAAAAGAGATAACATGGTTCCAATCTTCAAAAAAGGGGGGGAAATGGATCCAGGAAACTACATACCACTTTGCCTGACATCAGTTCCTGGGCAGATCCTGGAAAAGATGATCAAGCAATGGATCTGCAAACACCTGGAAACAAAGCTATTACTGGGAGCCAACATGAGTTTCTCAAAAACAAATTATGCCAGACAAGAAAGGGAACTGTATTCTACTCTCCCCCTCCTTCCATATAGCTAGCGCATCTAAAGCAATTATAACATTTATTTATTATTTATTTATTTGATCTGTCAATCACTTACAAGATAATAGGTATAGATATAAACATGAGTAAGATTACAGGAAATAGGTACGAATAAATGGGGACAATAGGACGGGGACAGTAGGCACAATTGTGCACTTATGCATGCCCCTTTACAGACCTCTTAGGAATGGGGATAGGAGAATAACGCTCCTATATTAATATTTAATTCCCACCATACGTGACTCTGGGTGGGACTGTTAGACTTGTTATTTAGGAGTCTCTAGTGGCCTTGAAGAGTAACAAGAGACTTCCTTTGTGAGAGCTGAAGGGAATCAATTGTGCATGCTGTTTGCCTCACTCCCTGTGATACAACAATAGCCCTGTCCAAGCTCCCTGAATCCATGGCTGAGTTGGCAATGGAGTTCCCCATACTGATGTTGCTGTGAGACTTCAACTTGCCTTCTTTGGGATAGGAGTTGGAAATGGCTTGGGAGTCCATGGTCACCATGGCATCTGTTGACCTGAGCTATCTTATTACAGCTGGACTCACATGTGGGGGTCTGTCACAGATTGGATCTCAGGCAGTGGCATCTGGGTCCAAGTGATTGTTAATGCCTCTTTGCAGTAGTGTGTGATCCTGCCTGCTCTGAAAGAGGTAGTGGTTTGCCTGTTCCTCAAGAAACCATTCTTTGGATAGTTCCCAACCAGCCTCTCATTTTCACAGGGAAGGATGTTGAAAGTTGTACTGGGCTTACAACTTCAGAGAGTCCTGAATGAAACAGATTATCTAGACCCTTTTCAGTTAGAATTTAGACTTGGGCGTTACAATATCAAGACTTCATTTGTCACACTTGGGGATGACTTCTGGAGCACTCCAAATAGAGGGTTGTATGTCTATCCTGGCTCTCCTGGATTTTTCACCTTTAAAGTTCTATGTGGTATGGGGTCAGGTTATTTTCAGATTCACTTTCCCTGAGGGTATCTGCCTACCCCACAAACTCAGACAAATGGGCACACTCCAGGTTCCTCAAACATTGTCATCTCAGTGGGAACTTGAAGTTGCAACTTCTTTGTAGCTACCTGGATCTTTTCAAATGGCTCTCCACCTGAGATTTGGATGTGTTTGTGTATGGAATACACATTTAGCCTTCTGGAAGTTAAGAAAGACCTGTCTCTCCCCCCCCCCCAAGCAATAGGCTAGGAGGAGTTTGTGTCATGGGGTCACCTGAGCTACCTGATGGAAGGGTCTGATTTGTTTTTATATTATTCTTTTCATAGGTTGTGGGCTGGCTAGGATCACTGCACGAGATAAACAGCTATGTAACTTGTTTTAAATAAATACATTTCTGTAAAAGAATCCACAGTGTTGGTCCTCATGCCATGATAAACGTTAGGGATATACACCCTAGCAGAACGTGCAACGGCAGTCTAGCAGACAGGCAGATATGTGAGAAAAAACTTTGTAGTAGCTTACACTCAGTAAGACAGATACACTGTGCAAGTTAAATAGTTTTTATTCCAGCAAGAGTTATAGCATAGTCAAACAGTCCATATGTCATACACTAAGTTCAGTCAGTCCGGGGGTTTTTCAGTTTGCAAAGTCCAGTGTCGAAAAAGAGTTCATTAAACTTACAATCAATCAGTCCAGTGATATATCTCTTTTGCAGTCAGAGATATGAAGAAAAATCAAACCCCCTTTCTTCTCTCAGCAAACACGCAGTTATCACCATCAATCCATCATTGTCAGCATTCCAGTAAAAGCCGGCAAACAGTGAGCTCTCTTGCTCCCTCTTATGGTGATTTTACAACCGCACCCAAAATACTTGGTTTAC